TTGATAATTGTCTTGCAACCCTCTCCCCAGCTTGTCTTATACTAACTAGATTTTCTATTTCAAGTATTTGCCTCCACCTGTAAGACGCAAGTTAGCCTCCTCAGCCCTTCCTGACCTTACACACAGACCCCATCAGCATAGCAACAGTCATGTGACTGGCCCACCCATGTGCCTGCCAGCCATCATGGTGATGTCAGTACCTGGCTCGCCTGTCCTCTTCATGACGACATGAAAAAGACCCCCACCCAATCATCTCAGCAACCTGCCTAACTCCAAAGGGAAGGCTAAAGAGCACTCAACTTCAGCCAGCCTTTTGCCTTGGCTTTGTGAAACTCTGGTGTGTCCACATGGCTCTCTGAGCTGCGGCTATCACATTTCCTGGCTTTGGCCCCCTCCCCTACCTTGGGGAGGTGAATTTCCCCTTTCCCTCTGCCTCTCCCTCCCCCTTGCTCTTTCCCTCTCCCTCGATAGACTGTATTTTCCAATCCGACTTCTGTGCAGTTCTTTGCATTTCTTGCGCAGCACTGGATCGCACACTCAGCCCGCCACCCACGCCCCGCAGGTCTGACCTAACATTTTGGAGGCCCACGGGGAGATTTTTACAACAGTAAAATGGGATTCAAGGGGATCTGGGCAAAGCATCAATAATATCTCCTGAAATAATGAACCTTACTTCAAATTCATGACCCGGATCCTCAAAGTGAACCCCACCTGACAATCCTATTTTCTTACCCCATTCATTCTCTCATGATCTCAGATGATCATTTCATAATTTATCCTCTTTCCTGGAACCTCTGACACATTTTCCTCCATTCTCACCCTTGGCTAATTACCTGGCTGGCTATTTCAACAGGAAAATAGAAACAATCAGAGGAGAACTTCACAAACACTACTCTATCTACTGCATACAACCATCTGTACCCCGATATTCTGTCTTCCCTCCAGGGTCTCTGCCCAGCTGTTTACATTCGTATCTAAGAGCAACCCCATTTCCTGAGCATTAGATTCCTGCCTTCTTATGGACTTTGTTCTGGTCCTCTCCCCTGTGAATTTTCTTTCTTCAAGATCTCTGCCATCAACATACAAACATGCTATTATTATTATTATTTTTTTTTTTTTTTGAGTCAGAGTCTCACTCCGCCTCCCAGACTGAAGTGCAGTGGCACACTTACCGCTACCCCAGCATTGACCTGCTGGGCTCTGGTGATCCTTCTGTCTCAGCCTTCCAAGTATCTGGAACTCCAGGCACATGCTACTATGCCCAGCTAATTTTAAAATTTTATTTATTTATTTTTATCTTGTGGAATTTGCTTATGCTTGATTTATGGCCAAGGATGTAATTTTTTTATTTTATTGTAGAGATGAGGTTGTCCAGGCTGGTCTCGAACCTGTGAGTTCAGGTAATCCTCTCACCTTGGCCTTCCAAAGTGCTAGAATTACATGCTTGAGCCACAGCACCCGGCCTGTTGTTATTTTTTAAAAAGCCTTCTCTTAATCTCACAGCCTCCTCTATCTGAAACATTTCTATTTCCCTTCGTAGAAAATCTGCTCAAGAGTTGTTTACACTCCTTCTTCCTATCCTCTTGGAGTGCTTTCATTCCCATATTTCCAGTAATACAACTTTTTCGAGGTCATGAATACAGATCATAGTTTTCCCCTACGACTTCTTCTCAGACTCCTTTGTAGGTTATTCTTAATTCTCCAACTTCGTAATACTGGCATGCCCACTCTCACCCCTCCTGTTCAACATAGTGCTGGAAGTTCTTGTCAGAGCATTTAGACAAGAGAAGGAAATCAGGGGTATCCAAACAGGAAAAGAGGAAGTTAAGCTATTCCTTTTGTGGATGATATGATCTTATATCTTGAAAACACAAGGGAGTCCACCAGAAACCTCCTTGCACTGATAAATGACTTTGGTAAAGTTTTGGGGTACAAAATCCACACACAAAAGACAGTGGCATTTCTATACACCAGTAACAAATAGGCAGAGAACCAAATAAAAAGCACAATCCCATTCGCAGTTGTCATTAAGAAAATGAAACACCTCAGCGTCTTCCTAACCAAAGAAGTGAAATACCTTACAATGAGAACTATAAAACACTGCTCAAAGACACTAAAGAGGACACAAACAAAGGGAAAAACATTCCAGGCTCATGGATCGGAAGAATCAATATTGTCAAGATGTCCATCCTACCCAAGGCAATCTACAGATTCAACACAATACCCATCAAATTACCGACATCATTCTTCTCAGACCTGGAAATGACAGTACATAAATTCATATGGAAACAAGAAAAGAGCTAATAGCCAAAGCAATCCTCAGCAAAAGGAATAAAGTGGGGGTGGGGGGGGTGGAGTAATCACATTTCCAGACTTTAAACTCTACTATAAAGCTACAATAAATTCTTTTGCTTTTGCTTTGCCTTTGCAATTCTTCGTTTTATTCCCATGGCACTGGCCTATCTTGCCTCAGCTTACTGTAACAGTCTCTTCCTTTCCTACCTCACATCTGATCAGTTAGTAAAACCTCAAAATAGAGTCATGTGTTACTTAAAGATGGGAATATGTCATGTGTCAAAGATGCAATAAGTTCTAAGAAATATGTCATTAGGTGATTTTGTCATTGTGCAAACATCAGAGTGTGCCTACACAAGCCTAGACAGTATAGCCTACTACATACTAATATATAATAATGGTTTGTCACCCTAAATGTCTCCAGATGAGGTCACTTGCTACCAGTGACTCAGCTTATAGTAACATTGCTGACCTCTCACAATGATAAGTATATGTGTGGTGGACCAAGGTGGTAAAATGACCCCTGTTGTGGCCAGGCATCCCTGACACCTGAAAAGAAATTGAAGCCAAAAGGCAGCTTAAGATTATGGCCATAAACCAACTGTGGTGGTTCACACCACCCAGCACTTTGGGAGGCGAAGGCAAGAGGATTGCCTGAGCCCACGCGTTCGAGACCAGCCTGGGAAACGTGGCAAGACCTCGCCTCTACAATAAATCAAAAAATTAGCTGGACGTGGTGGTGCACACCTGTAGTTCCAGCTACTTGGAACGCTGAGGCAGAAAGATCACCTGAGCCCAGCAGGTCAAGGTTGTGGTGGCCGTGAGCATGCTGCTACACTCCAGCCTGGGTGGCAGAGTAAGACTCCGACTCAAGAAAAAGAAAAAAAAAAAGGCCATGAACACTCCTACAGTGGGCTATAAAGACCACAAAGAAATTGGCCATGGTCGTGTCGCCTGCAGAATCTATGCCCATAAGACTCTGAGGCCTCCTTTCCTTCAGCTGTGTAAACCCTGCTAGCACCCACTTCCATCCCCCACTGGTGGACATTCAGCAGAAAACAGGAGTTGCTGGTTAGTCAGTTGGCACTGTGGACCTTTTTTTCTCTGCCGGAGTGTGTTGAATAAATCTGCATATTGAGGTGTGAAAGCCTCACAATAAACCATGAATTTGTGCGTGTTTCAGTGGTTACTAAGAGAGGTGAAATCTCTCAGACCCCTCTGTCAAAGTTAATACAACTAATATGCCCCAAATAGGAGACACACCTAGGCTCTATGCCATAGCCTGTTGCTCCTAGGATACAAGCCAGAAGAGCATGCTATCATACTGAATAGTGTATATTACATATATATGTATGTATATATGTATGTGTATACATACATATATTTATATTCATTATGTGTATATATAACACATATATAGTATATAAATGAGTATGATTTACTTAACTTTTCACTTAGTTCAGAATTAAGTATCATCCAGTTAAACAGCTCTTTAACAACAGTAGAAGTTGAATAGTACTCTCTCCTTTTTGCCAAAGCAGGATTTGATGCTCAAAGGGTAGTTTGTCCCAATTCCACAGCAAGTGAAATAACTGAGATTTGAACTTTGATCTGTTTTAGTTTGTGACTGCACAAGCCAGAAATCTCAGCTATTCTTTGTGTCACCTTCTCCTTCATCCTCCAATATCTGCTCACACATGGGGCCTTTTAATTCTACATCCCCAAACTCTCTGATCCATCTCCTTTACTACTATTTTCATTTTTACTGAAATCAGTAGCCAGAGAGTATAAATGCCAGTGATAGAAAGCCACCAGCATACTGTGTTACTGCAATGTTTATGCCCTTTCACTTGTATTACCGTGCTTCATTTCTTTATCAGGACTAATCCGAACACGCAGGTGTTACAAATGAGGAAATTAGTTTCTCGGAGAGTTTAAGCAACATATTTAAACTCCCAGACAGTGACAGATCCAGTTTTCTAAATGCAAGAACTCTTTCTATAGCCTTGTGTTTATAGAGATATTCGTGTGTGTGTGTTTATAGAAATATTATTTTTAGAATTCAGTTCTTAAAAACGATCACCTATTATAAAACGTCAGATTAAAGGCAGATTCACGGTGGGGAATGGTACTTTCAGGATCATCTCACGCAGCTCCACCACCTCCCTTCAAAAGAACTGAGGCCAAAGGTGGTGCCCTGGCATGCCAAGGGGGAGAGCTGGGACTTCATTCTGGATCCTTTCTCGGGTGCCATTAATTCAGCCTCTGGAATCCCACCTCTCTAACGGCATCACAACAGTTTCTCAGAAAAGATGCCGCAGTTGTAGCATGAAAGGTCAGAGAGACGTCTATTTCTCACAGCGCTGCCGGCCTCAGTTAGCTGAGTAAGTCCTCAAGGCACATAATCCCATTCTTTTTTTTTTTTTTTTTTGAGTTGGAGTCTCACTCTGTCGCCCAGACTGGAGTGCAGTGGCACATAATCCCATTCTTTAACCAAGATCCCCTTGGAGAGCGGAATGGTGACCGTTACTGCCCTTCCACGACTGCCCTCTAGGTGGGGAGACCCCAAGATTGAATGCAGAACTTCAGGGAGCAACATCGCAGGAACAGCAACCGGGGTGAAAGAAAGAAACCCGCCCAGGGCCCAAGCACGGGAAACACAGGCACAGCTTTGTTTCCGACGGAGGCGAAGGCCAGGTCGGTACCTGAACTGGGCAACGGCCAGTGCGGCCTCCGGCTGGGCTCCAAAGCCAGGTAGGTGCCGGTTTAGGTAGGCCTCCAGGGACTCGCGGTCGAAGATGTGCTGGGGCAGCACCTCCGCCATCTCAGGTTTGTCGGAGGCTCCCGGCTCCATGGCCGCTGCCGCCGCCAGCGCAGAAACAGGAAGCCCGCAGGGCCGGAGGGCCAAGGTCGCCGGGCGCGGAGCAGCGCCACCCCGGGCTGGAGCAAGGGGGCAGGGCCGGGCCTGGCTCCGCCAATCACGCATACCCTGGCAGGCCAGCCGAGGGGGCCTAGGCTCCCGTTTCCAGCGCCAGAGAAGCTCAGTGGTGTTCGGATTTAAATTGCCCTTAGCCTCAGAGTTGGAGGCCTCAGATCTAAGAGAGCAAAGCCAGTTTTCAGAGCAATCAGACAAGAGAAGGGGATCTGCAGTATCCAAATAGGAAAAGAGGAAGTTAAGTTATCCCTCTTTGCAGACGCCACGATTCCATACCTCGAAAACCCAAGAGAATCTGCCAAAAACCTGCTTGCGCTGAAAAAGGACTTTGGCAAAGTCTCAGCGTATAAAATAAAAGTGCAAAACAGTCGCAGTCCTATACACCAACAATAAACAAACAGAACCCCCCAAAAGCACAATCCCATCACAATAGCCACGAAAAAATGAAATACATGGCATGTTCCTAACCAGAGAAGTCAAAGATCTCTACAACGAAAACTACAAAACCCTGCTCAAAGAAATCAGAGATGACACAAACAAAGGGAAAAATATTCCATGCTCACGGATGGGAAGAATCAACATTGTTAAGACATCCATCCTACCCAAGGCAGTCTACAGATTTAACGCAATACCCATTAAATTACCAGCAGCATTCTTCTTAGACCTAAATGACAATACAGGAATTCATATGGAAACATAAATGACCAAGAATAGCCAAAACAATTCTAAGGGAAAAAAAAAAACCAAAACCAAACCCAAAAAACAAAACAAAGCAGGAGGCATCACTCTTCCAGACTTTAAGCTTTATTATAAAGTTACAATAATCAAAACAGCCTGGTATTGGTACAAGAACAGGCATATAGACCAATGGAACAGGATAGATTCCAGAAGCAAAACATCAATTTCTCAACCAACTCATCTTCGACAAACTCTCCACCACAAACCACTGGGGAGAGGACAACCTATTCAGTAAATGGTGCTGGAAAAATTGGCTGACCAGATGCAGAAGATTGAAACAGGGCCCTTAAATCAGTTCTAAATGCATCAAAGACATAGATGTAAAACCTCAAACTATAAGAACCTTAGAAAACACAGGAGACACTCTCATGGAAATTGGAACTGGCTACCAATTCCTGATCAAAACCCCAAATGTCCATGCCATAAGAGATAAGATAGATAAGGAGGACCTCATCAAACTGACAAGCTTCTGCAAAGCCAAAGAAACCATCAAGAGAGCGGGGAGATAGCCCACAGAATGGGAAAAAGTATTTACCAACTGTATATCTGACAATGGCCTAACATCTAGGATCTACAAGGAACTCAAAACGTGCCAAAAAGAAAAAAAACCAAACAGCCCCATTTCAAAGTGGGCAAAAGATATAAAAAGACACTTCTCAAAAGAAGACATAGGAGCAGCCAACAGATACATGAAAAAATGCTCAGCCTCACTAGTTATCAAAGAAATGCAAATTAAAACCACACTGAGATACCACCTAACTCCAATCAGGATGGCCATCATCAAAAACAACAGATGCTAGTGAGGATGCAGGGAAAAGGTAACAACTTCTACACTGTTGGTGGGAGCGCAAACTAGTATTGCCTCTGTGGAAAACAGTGTGGCGATTCCTAAAAGATCTAAAAATCGATCTTCCATATGACCCTGCAATCCCCCTACTGGGAATATACCCGGAAGAACTCAAATCACTATAAAAAAGATACCTGACCACGCATGTTTACTGCAGCACTATTCACAATAGCAAGAAAATGGAACCAACCGTCTGCCCATGGAAACAGGACTGGCTAAAAAAATGTGGCACATATACATGATGGAATAAATTACACAGCCACAAAGAAGGACAAAATTAAGAACTGTGCAGCAACTTGGGTGGGCTTAGAGGCTATAATACTGAGTGATCTGTCACAGAAACAAAGAACCGAGTGTCACATGTTCTCACTCATGAGCGACCTTGAAGAACCATGGTGACACTGTAAGAAAGGGATTGGCAGTTGAGGGAAACTGCCAGGGGAGGGGGGCACACCTCACCAACAAGGGTACCTGTATAACGAACATCTGTATACCCAGCACTGAACTGTACCCATATCTTTAAAATATAAATTACAAAGAAAGCAAAGCCATCGTCATCGCTACGGGAGAATAAGGACCCAGAAGCCTCTCCCACTCCGACAGGCGGAAGACACGGGTCCGGCTCCGAAAAGGGCCGGTGGGGACTAGGAGCCTCGGAATAGAAGGCCGGGTTTCTCCCAGCCCGGAGCAGGAAGGCTCCGCACACCCACTGCTCCGTCCGATCTAGCACACCCAGGAACGGAGGAAGCCAGGCGAGGCGGGTTCTGGCTGCGGGGAAGCGATGTCGGCTGCGCACCGGAAGCGGCGGACCGGCAGCCCCGAGAGCTGAGACGTGTCCGGGAGGCGCCGCGCACACTCCCCCGGGCTCTGGCAGGGCTCCTGCCGGCGGGTCCCTGGCAGG